CAGAACTCCCAAGATATACACTGCGTGCTATTCTGTATGACTGCACCATGCAAATCTTGTTCTCCTTACCTGTGTTTCAGTCAGGACCTCAATGTCATTTGTACGGAAGAATTCCTTAGGGCGCAAGGTGATCTGATCTAAGTGGGAATCCATTGACTGCAACAAAGAAGCGATTTTGCTGTCAATTACACTGTTCACAGTGTGAGAGACGTGTGTGAATTCCCAGTTACAGCATTTACACATGTGTAAGAGCCGTTTTCCCAGTGCTTTTCAGTGATAGCCTGAAATCTGTCCTTGCAGTAACCTGGTACACAGGAAATCTCTGCAGGTGACCAGGACTAAGGGAAGGATCTCTATTGACTTGAATGGACTTGGTATTGGGCCTTAATTCCTTTTATATTAACTCACACTGCAGTACAAGAATTGACCCACTAAGAAAGACAGGAAGGGAAGGCTTTTGAATAGCTGTAAAGTGGAAGTTCAAAAGACATAGCATGGAAGAGCACAGAGACAGACAAAGGGGCCAAGAAAATGGTTACTTTGGGAAAGAGGATCAGTTATCCACTGATCACTGCAGAATTTTCAAAAGCACCCAACTTATTTAGGAGCAAATGTCCCAGAAAGAGTCAAAACACAAGCCCTTATCTAGTTCTTTTTTGAACCTAGTTATACTTTTGACCTTCACAACATCCCCTGGCAATGAGTTCCACAGATAAATTGTGCATTGCGAGAAAGAGTATTTCCTCTCCTTTGTATTAAACCTGATGCCTAGTAATTTCACTGGGTTGTAGTCAATTTGTAGCCAGTGATACAAACATATATACACATAGGGAAGGAATAAGTATGAATTAAGGCAGTAACACAAAAGCTTACATGTCCCAAGCCCGTAAGGCAATAACTTACAAACTAACTGAGGCCAAAGGCTTGAGATCTGGACACAAGTAACTAACCTATACATGACCTTGTATTACAAGATGTCATGAGATAAAGTGATGTTCTAAGTAAATGTTGCTAAATTGCTGAGAGTTGACAGCAAAATGCTAGTTTATACCAGCTTTAGATATTTTAAGTTAGGAACATCAGTAGATGTTCAACCACAAGAATGCCATAGAAACGTATTGACATGTGGCCCATTGGCGACTGCCAGTAGCAAAACTCCCCAATTGCTGGAGACGGGACACTAGATGGGGCGGGTTCTGAGTTACTACAGAGAATTCTTTCCCAGGTGTCTGGCTGGTGGGTCTTGCCCATATGCTCAGGGTCTAACTGATCACCATATTTGGGGTCTGGAAGGAATTTCCCCTCAGGCCAGATTGGTAGGGACCCTGGGGGGTTTTCGCCTTCCTCTGCAGCATAGGGCATGGGTCACTTGCAGGCCTAAACTAGTGTAAATAATGAATTCTCCGTAACTTGAAGTCTTTAAACCATGATGTGAGGACTTCAGTCACTCAGCCAGAGGTGAGAGGTCTATTACAGGAGTGGGTGGGTGAGGTTCTGTGGCCTGTGACGTGCAGGAGGTCAGACTAGATGATCATGATGGCCCCTTCTAACCTTAAAGTCTATGAGTCTATTTGATTTGTTCCTGCACAACATTTTGATTAAAAGATTAGAACAATATAAAATTAAAGGGCACATATTAAATGAATTAAAAACTGGCTAACATAGGTCTCAAAATGTAATTGTAAATGGGGAATCATCACAGAGTGGGTCTGTTTCTAGTGAGGTTCTGCAGGGATCAGTTCTTGGCCCTACACTATTTAACATCTTTATTAATAACCTGGAAGAAAACATACAAGCATCACTGATAAAGTTTGCAGATGATACAAAAATTGGAAAGTGGGTAAATAATGAAGAGGACAGGTCACTGATACAGAGGAATCTGGACTGCCTGGTAAACTGGGCCTAAGCAACCAACATGTATTGTAATACAGCTAATGTATAGACCTGGGAACAAAGCACGCCGGCCGTACGTACAGGATGGGGGACTCTATCCTGGGAAGCAATGATTCTGAAACAGATTTGGGGGTTGTGGTGGATAATCAGCTGAACATGAACTCCCAGTGTGACGCTATGGCCAAGAGCTAATGTAATCCTGGTATTTGTAAACAGGGGAATCTCGAGTAGGAGCAGAGAGGTTATTTTATCTCTGTATTTGGCACTGGTGTGACTGCTGCTGAAATACTGTATCCAGTTCTGGTGCCCACAAGCAGGGCTGCCCAGAGGATTCAGGGGGCCTGGGGCAAAGCGGGGGAGCTGTGGCGCTTGTATTCACCCGGTGGCGGTCCGGGTCTTTGACAGCATTTCACACCTCAACTGCTAGCAGAGCACCTCACCCTCCCTGATTGAACTAACCTCGTTATCTCCACACTGAT